TTTTTTAATTCCGAGATAATTTTTTTTTTTGCAAAATTAGTCATTTTTTTGTAGTCGTTACTTTATGACCGTTTTTTGGACCTATCCAAATATGACCGTTAAAATGTGTCCGTTAAAATGTGTCCGTTGCAATGTGACCGTTTTATTGTCACTATATTACTTCTTTCAAACTAAAACGCAAACACAGCCACACAAACTAAAACGCAAACACACCCACACAAACAAATAACCACACAAACAAAAATTGAAAAAAAAAATAAAGCAGCAGGGGACCCCGCGTGCAGGCGAGGGCCCTTCCTCCCGCGCGCGTGCGGCCCAGGCGCGCCTCCGCGTGTGGCCCTCGCCTGCACGCGGGGTCCCCCCTTCCAGCTGCTATTTTTGCCCTTTCCTCCATGGAGGCTTCTACCTATCCACCCCAACACTCCATTCTCCAAATTTGGAAGCAAAATTGAAGGTGGGTTGGAGATGAAAAAATGCAAATTGTTCACTTTCTCCAAATTTGCAAGCAATGGTTGGAGTTAGTCTGAGTTGGATCTCTTGCCACATGTACCGGGAGAAGGTGACCCTCCGGTAACCGGCGACGGGGAAATCAAAACACAGCCTCTAGCGTAGTAGTCAGCAGTTGAAGGTCGGATTCTCTCGGCATATACACGGCGAGGAATGCAAATAGAACCCATTTTCCGCAATCGTCCGGTCTTCCTCCTCCAACGGCGACGACGAGTTGCTGTTGCACTTCCACGCCGACGAGGGGCAGGGTGACGAGAAGTTGTTGTTGTGGAAGAACGGGTCTTGATTCAACGGAATCACTAGGCTCAGTGCCAGCTTGGGGAAATCCAACAAGATCTCCACGGTGGAGGCGGAGAAGGGGGAGGAAGACGAGATGAGATTGGAAGTTGAAACTGCCGGCGGCCAAAAGCAGAGTGTTGATCATTATTGTGGTGCTTGAAGTTGTTGTTGCTGCTGTTATTTCTTGTTGGGTATGCTTCTTATGGGAGGGATGGGGAAATTGGCGCTGCCCTCATCACCTGCGGCGGTGGTGGAGGATCTTGTGGCCTCGGGGAGGAGGCTTGTTTGGCTGTGTAAGGCTCGGATGGTGAGGATGAGAGTTGAATTATTTTTTTATTTTTATTTATTTATTTAATTGACATGTCATTAAATTAATGGTTCAGTCGGCAGTTTTGTTTGCCATGTCATCAGAAAACTGACAGAGTTAATGGAGACTAACGGCGGTGACTAACTGTGAAGCGATTCGTAAAGTTAGTGACTAATAGGAAAGAAAAGTAATTTGGGTGGCAAACGTGAAAACTTTATGTAATTTGAGTGACCAAACGTGTAATTTAGCCTTTACATCCAATCACGAAAATATAATATGATAACATATGGAAACATTAATGCTTGCTGAAGATGTACTGAAATCCACTAGATTTGGGCCCGGCCTCTTGGCCAGGAGAGTTTGATTTTCATGTGTATGTGTAGTAAACATTGAGGATTGAAGTAACAATTTAATTTGGTAAGTTCTACATGAATAATATAGGAAAGTATTTAATGTATTTGACTAATGAAGTTTAAAAATGACAAACAACACCCAACTACACTAACATAAATTCATATTTCAAACAAAGTTATATCTATATAAAAATGTCTAAGAAGAACAATAATAAGAGTTGTTTTACATCACACATACATAATCAATCTTCAGTATACGATAAATTTGTTTGCATTTTCCATTGAATTTCGTGTATTCAATGATATAATGAAACAAACTATATGTTTAGAGTGTACTTAAAAAGAAGCAAACTAACTCACACAGTCATGGACTCATGGTTCCATTGACTTTAGTGTATTCAATCATATAATGAAACAAAGCATGCAGATCTCCAGCTGCAAGTTCAACTAATAGAGCAACACATAAAAAGCTAAATCAAAGCGAAAAGAAGGCAAAAACTAAAAGCAGCATACCTAACATTTTGGGGGAAATCCACAACAATAAAAGTCATTGTATGAACACTTGATAATGATTTGAACACTTGTGATATATGAGTAGTGAAAGTTAATAAAAGTCATTGTAGCTCTTACTCAAGTTAGAAAGAATTTGATTTAATGGTAAGTAAACAATGATATGTAGTGCTTAAGAGGGAAGATGAGACCTTACATTGTTTATTAATATGCATCTTAGTTTCATAAATTTTACATCATTAAAAATTTATGTGTTGAATAGAAACTCATCGAAGTTTGGAGCCATTGTAAAATGTAAGTTACGAGGCAAATGAAAAGTCTCAACAAGGTTGTCAACCCGCGGGTTGACTCGGACCCAGTGAAGCTAGTGGGTCAAGGGTTAATGGGTCACCCAGTTTAGCCCGGTTTAGCCCGAAAATATGGAAATAGTCATTATATTATACTTATTCTGATAAATTATATAAAATTTCATCTAACATATGAGTTATAACATAAAATATTACACTAAAATAACATGTCGTACTTAGATCCAACATATAGTGAAAATTCACACACAATTATATAACAACAATATTCAAATGTTGAACTTAGGATTCCAAAGATTGAGTTAGGCGAAAAGAAAATCGGAAAATAGGCACATTTCGCAAACCAAATAAAAAATGACACAATTTGATCTCTAACCCGGTACCTTGTAGCGGTCGACTCGGCGGGTGCGTGCAGCCCGTTTTTCTCACAGGGTCAGGGTCAAAGTGGGTCGACCCTGGGTCGACCCGCGGGTTGACAACCTACTCTCAAGCATCCACATGCTTGCAAAATAAATCTATATTATCAAACACAAAATCATATCTTGCATCAGAAAAAGAACAAAAAAGTAGTAATTCGATAATCAATATAGGAATCAATATGGACACAATATCTAACCAAGAGAAGAGGAAGCGAAAAAACACAAATTGTTGTGTATAGATTCCACTCACGATATTTCAAAGTGAAAATATCATAAAAATTATTAACCAATAAAAGGGAACGATTAAGGGGAAAATGCATCAATTTGAACCTAAAATGAGAGGAATTAATATCCTACACCATCATATATAATGATATATTATATCACAGAACATCATAAAAAAACTATCTAAATGAAAAAGTATACTAAATTGAATCCAATGTAAAAGTAACGATGAAAATAGATATTATATCCACCTAAGGAATAATAAAGTAAGCCATGTTTCTTAGAGACCTCTCTCGTTAGAACCACTCTATTATAAAACCCATTTTGTCAAACAATTGCATCATATAGAGTTTTAACTTAAATTTGAAGTGCTTATAATTAGCTATTTCAGCTCATGAATGAATTAATTATATCATTTGGCAAAAGAAAATAATTTATAAACTTGAGAGTTATTTCATTTGTTGTTAAATAATTTGAACTGAAGTATGAAATTGCTTCAGAACTGTTATTTTATTCATTATTATTAAAATTGTTATTTTTATTATAATGTCTAAGCATGTCTAGGCGAGCTAGGAGATAGACAAATGCCTAATGACCGTCGTACGCCTAACGTGCTGCTGAACCTCAATAATTATAGCAAACTTTGAGTGCATCTTATAAATTTGATCACTTCTATTTTGGTATAATTGATTACATCAATAAAGCGATCAATCAAAGAGTCTTTTTTTGAGATTTTGATAAGATGTCCCCTACTGCACAATTAGTATGACTAAATTGTACTGAGATAATCATGTATTGAATTTTGAATTGATAGCGGAAAAGATTGTACTAACTCAAGTAGAGTTTTAGCTACTCAATACTTCATATTCGCATGTAGATAGCTATTTCGAAGAGTTCGAATATTGATTGAGTTTGTTGAACTTTACCTAACAAAACTATGATATCAAGCGCAATATATTATGCTTTTAGGAGAAATTGGGAGAATATGTTGGTGACATCAAATTCAACATGGATACCATTGAATTTAAGTGATAAGCAACATTTATGTTTAATAGATTAGACATGAAAAATATATTTAGCATTCTCATAAGTTGGCATGCAGAAGTGAATAATTAGGAATTGAAAGTAGAAACAAAGTTGATTTAATAAATAACTGCAAATGATATTGTGAAAAAGAAAACAAATGCTTAGAGCATAGCTAGGCACGAGAGTGTTACATTAAACTCTCTAAGAGAAAGCAAGTAACCATTAATAGTTAGCTGTGGATATTGAAATAGTTAACTATGATGAATATTATATATTGGTGTTAATACTTGGACCTTAGCTTGAACATTGCATCATGCTGATAAAAATTATTTCATTAATTACATTATTGAAATAAGGGGTGATATGGAAGTTTTGATTGTTTTTTTTAGATTGTTAAAATAAATACATTTTTCATAATACAATACATATGTTTTTATTTTTGTTCATACATAATCGTGAATTATTTGCTTGATTTGACTAAACTATCATTGAAATTGAACGATTAAACAATTTCAAATTTTAGCATAGACTGTCGAGATAATTGGTATCGGTGTTTTTCATTTTTATTTATCTTGAAATGTATAGTACCAATGTCCTTATATCGTCATTGAACACTTCAATTCAATGCGCAATATTCTAACCAATGATATTTGTGTTGAGATTTTAAGATTATCCTTCATTTATAAGTTAGAAAAAATTATAAATTAATTATTAAAATATGAAAATAGAAGTATCAAACTCCATAAAATACTTACAGGAGACTTAGCGGGCTAGCTAACCGTGATAGAAAGGTACTTTGTTTTTCATAATTTTAACTTCCTCTATGTTTTGTATTAACAAAGTACAACAAATGTGTCTAGTCTAATTGGTTACAATTCTTGTCTTTTGTGGAAGGGACCATGGTTCAAATCCTAGCATAGATATCTTTTTATATGAAATAAAAAAATGATTGTGTAGACGAAAATACCCTTCCTACTTTCGCTCTCGTTGCACGAAATTTGAAATGGAGCAAATCAAACTCTTTAAAATGTATTATAAGTAGTCTAGACTAGACTAGATTAGACGATTACTAGTTGGGCGTCGTTGCTAGCACAGCTTGAGACTGGCGTTCATAGCGTAACCCATTAGTTTTCGAATCATCAGCCGACCAAGCAAAAATTCCCTGCAGCTTCCCCCGTTTCTTCAGCCTATCGCAAGCCTTAAACAATCCATCCGCAGGGGATAACCCCCCGCTCCCATCACTAATGAAACTCACCAACACCTTCCCGCCGTCGTAATTCGAACTCTGCTCATCGTAGTACTTCAGAAACTGGTCCACGCTGGTCCCCTGTTCGTAGGCGTAGAACTGGAAATTCACATAATCGATCACATTCCCATACTTGTTCCACAGAGCCTGGTAATGGCTCTGTACCTCGGGGTCGTCAAAGGGAGCAATCAAGGCAAAAGAGATGACCCCGTTGTTCTTCAGAGTGGTGATCAGTCGAGCGATGCACTCGTCGAACGTGTCCGGGTCGGATTTGAAGTGCTCGTAGTCGATGTTGGGAATGAATAGCTTTGAAAGCTATATTGAATTAATTATCTCGTATTCTTTCTAGATACAAAAATAGGAAGGATAATTAATAACAAGAATATTATGGAGATAATTAGGATTAATTATCTTAATATAATATAATATATTTTAATTATGGAAGTAATTATCTTCCTAATTAAAATGTGGCTTATTCCCAAAGAAAGAGGGAATATTCTAGGTTTTCTGCTCCTATAAATAGCAGACCCCTAGACCCTCTAAACACACCTCAGAGAGCAGAAACACGAGATAGAGAGTGAGTTCATAGAGCTCCGGTTTTCGCACAAAAACGATGAGCAACAAAATAAGAATGGTTGTTTTATCCTGGAGGCGACCGGCTGATAGTCTGCTGTGCGCAATACGAGGCAGTGCCGCGAACGTCTTAAAGAGAGCGACCTAGTCCGCGACTCAGCCAGATCGATAACCCTAATTTTTTCCTGTTCGATTTCTAACAATTTTAAGACGTTTGGTTGCTGTTATATCTATCGAACAGGATGATTGCCGAGTCTGGTTCCAATCGGTCGCAAGTATAAGGGATATGGCTACCCACAACTCGATGCTTTGCTCTTGTAGACCAGTTGGCTTGGCCGCTACGAACTCGATGAAAAGAGCGACCCCAGTAATGCCTTCCTCAAACCTAGAATAAAATATCCAGAGATTGGGGCCACGTTCCGGACAGGCGCGTTTATGAAAGACGAATTCAAGCGAGTCTCTTTAGCGATCGAGAACAGGCTGCTGGCGATGGTAATCTTGGTTTTAATAACGTGGACCGTGAATACTTTGTGGTTTTTTATTCCCGACCATGTTAAGAGGTTCCGCTTGGAGGAGTTGAAGTCGGCAATATAGCGGAGCTTTGGATAGAGGGAACCCCGCTCTATTGTTGAACTCTATCAAGAGAATTGCATCCCAGAGCGGTTTTTTTTTATATTATTACTTGAAAAATATATATGGGAAACTAATTCCGGATTGGTTCCAGGCAGCTGTGATCTTTATTTTTGCAGAATTTTAAATTCAATCATCACTCTACCGACGTGATTGGTAGGTGGCGCCGAGAAAGAAGTGCATATCATAATAAGACCACTAGGCAATTTCTTTCTTAGACGGCGTTGGATCAAGAGAAGCCTTGTGGACGAGAGATGCAGCGACAACAGAGCGGAATCGCACGCTCCCGCAATGGCAGGGTATAATGCAACATATATATCCGGAGATGCTCTGGACGAGGCCTTCCTGCAGCTAGAAGGCCATCTCTGACTCTCCTAGGAAGAGTGAGGAGAAGTAAGAACGGTTGGGGGAAATGCTTCTGCCATTCCATTTTTATGTGGAAAGGGTACGACACCAATTAGCTTTGGGTGGAGTCGGAAGGGACTGGTTTGTTCTCTCCAAGTTTTATAGCTCCCCGCTACGTGGTCACGCAAGCATCTCCACCAAAGAGATAAAAGTAACCAAGGAGCTATGCATGGTGCTATTCATTCAAAGTCAGGAAGGGAATTCTCGGAAAAGAGGTTAGAATTCCAACCTTCTTAGTGAGTCATTAATGAATGACAAAATTCGAATTTTTCGAGAATGCTAGAATGAAAGCTTGAATTGATGTATGATAAGTTGACATTGAGATATATTACATATCTCGATGATTAGAGCATAAATTGAATACATGCTATGTAGTATAATGATTTTGTTTAAATGCATGCATATATGTGAAGAATATATGGGAATAAAATGGGTTTATTGCCCATAATAACGATATTGTAAGAAGTACTATTATCAGTACTACATGAACCACTTAGACTGCTTTGAAACATTAAAGTTTCAAGAATTAGAGCAGCAAACCGAACCAGATCCATACCAAATAGAATGGTACCCTTTGTGGTAACCATAAGATTGTCACCCAATCCTCTAAGAATGACGCTATGTTTCTCTGTTAAATTTGTGAGAAACTAGGTCATAAGACATGAAAGTGTAAGAACAAGTTTAACCTAGTGTTAACTTGACAAAAAAAGAGGATTTGGTGGTAATAATCACTAATGGGGTGATAGGCCTTAATGGCAATTCTGGAAAAAAAATTGGTGGTTGGATATTGACGCCTCAAGGCATGCATCTGATAAATTAGCTAAGCTCTATCATGCATTGAGGCATATTGAAGGAGAAAGTGTTGTTGGGCAAGACCCTCACCACTATTGTTAATGGTTCTGGGAAAGTGGAAGAGAACCCTACCTCTAGAAAGTCATTGACTTTAGATAAGATAAATTCTTCCAAGTGTGTCTTTGTGAAGAATTAGAATATCTTATATCGCATTCCCATATTATTATTGGATGCTTAAGAAAAATATGAATTTTGTATATTCAAGCTAAATGACCCATAAATATGTGGTTAGAGAATCAGAATCGATAGATCTGATATGGGTAAACTTGATGGAAAAGACAATAAATGATTTATTGCTCTTAAGAGTGCTCTGGTTGTCTAACTAGTTATTCGAAATAGTTTGAAATGCCTAGTTGCATTATGATTGCACTGATTATTCGATATGTGGCATGCATGTGGTAGCATTAGAGAATCAATGACGTGATAACTAGAAGAGCATATGAGTGTGTAAGTTATTGTAAAACAGATAAGCCTATGAAACGAAATACTCATTAGTTTGTGAAAACCATTGATGCCAATAGATTCCATTTATATTAAGAAATAGTGGGGGTGATATCCTGCCTACTATTAGAAATAATGGATAACTAGTGGGGGTGATGAATCTGAGTATGAACTCAGAAGAGACAAATGAATCATAAATCACAAAAGGATTTTGGTTATGAATTTGTTATTTACACCCTAAGAAAGAAAGACCCTACAAGTCTGCTAGAAGTTCAAACTTCCATAAAGATGCAGAATTGTAGGAGAATCCATTATTAACGAAATGGAATTATTGGAGTCTAATAAGACTTAAAATCTTGTAGAGTTACCTCTTGGTTGAAAAGCCTTGGGTAATATATCGATAGAATCGAACAAGATTTAGCATCTTTGAGAATTACCTCTTGGCAATGAAGCCAAGGTAATAAATGGATTCCTAAAAGGAAAACTGATACCTGATGGTTTAGTTTATGAGTATAATGATCGCCTAGTAGCGAAGGCTTTAGGTGAAGGGAAAACAAATTGTAGATTTCTTTGATATCTATTCACCAATATGTAGAATAACATCCATCACATGGACGTTAAAATACTTTTTTGAATGGTGATTTGAATAAAGAAATCTACATTGGGACAATCTTAAAGATTGTTATTCTAGAACATGCTTCTGGAGTCTATGGTTAGACAAATCATTATATGATTTGAAATAGACTCAGAATTAGTGTCATGAATAATCAAATTCTCTCTCATGGTTTTGAAAGTGAAAATGACAAGTGCATTTAGTACAAATTTGAGAATGACACTTGCATTATGAATGACACGTCGATCTTTGGGTACAAAGACTCGTGATGTCAATATTGAAAAACCATGATGGTTGAGAATTTTGAATGTGAAGGATCTGTTTGAAACAAATGTTATGCTTAGAGATCCTAATAACTAGGAAAATACAAGATGTACACCTGCATACATGTTTGATGGTGCTAGTATAAAAATTTAAAGAACACCTAAGACGGTGTAAGAAAGTTAAAATATACTAGCATTTACAGTCTGCGAGAGGCAGCTGATAAACATGAGACCCGATTTAGTGGGGGTACTTGGCAGGATTATTGATTGTCCTAGTATGAAGCATTGAAATGCTATTGAAAGGGTCATGAGACACCTTAAAAGAACAGAAAAAACCTTGGTATTTGTTATCAAAGGTTTTGCTGTATTGGTAGGGTATAGTGATGCGGATTAGAATACACTATAGAGGACTCCAAGACAACAAGAGGATATGTTTTAAAACATCGATAGAGAAGCTATGTCTTGGAAGTCTAAGAAGTAAACGATCCTGGCTCAATCAACTAAGAAATCGGAAATGATAGAACTAGCAATGGCTAGTAAAGAGGAAAGTTGATTGAGAGGGTCACTACTAGAGATTCCCTTATGGGAAAGACCGATCCCTCCGGTAGTTGATTAATTGTGATAGCACCGCAGCTATTGAAAAAGAAGGGAACCGGTTCTAGAACGAAAAGAGACGACAAATTCGTCATAAGCACAGTACTGTAAGAGAACTCCTAATGATAGGAGCAATGAGGGTGGATCCTGTAAGGTCCTAACAGAATCTAGCTGATCCTTTGACGAAAGGATTATCTAGAGAGAAAGTCCAAAATACCACCAAGGGCTAGTTCTATCATTTCCGATTTATTAGTTGATTGAGCCAGGATCGTTTACTTCTTAGACTTCCAAGACATAGCTTCTCTATCGATGTAAAGAGGAAAGTTGATTGAGAGGGTCACTACTAGAGATTCCCTTATGGGAAAGACCGATCCCTCCGGTAGTTGATTAATTGTGATAGCACCGCAGCTATTGAAAAAGAAGGGAACCGGTTCTAGAACGAAAAGAGACGACAAATTCGTCATAAGCACAGTACTGTAAGAGAACTCCTAATGATAGGAGCAATGAGGGTGGATCCTGTAAGGTCCTAACAGAATCTAGCTGATCCTTTGACGAAAGGATTATCTAGAGAGAAAGTCCAAAATACCACCAAGGGTATGGGACTTATGCCTACCGAACCACGGATTACAAGTGATGGTAACCCGACCCGATAGACTGGAGATCCCAAGAAACGGGTTCAATGGGTAATAACAAGTCATGAGTAATATTGAGAAAAGTTCATGCATAGTGAAGCATGAATCCCAAAGCCTTGGAGGTTGAGTTCAACTCTTAATGAGATCTATACTCTATGTGGAGTGAAGTACTTTACTTTGGGGGTACTTCTGATAGACTCACCTATGTGAATGTGGGAGTGGGGCCGCTCCCTATGGAACTTTGGAGGCACAAAGTTGCTAGAGCGTTCACTAAATCGGGATAACGTGCAT